CAAATCCTGATTTTTTTGCGCCTTTAATATACCCTGCACTTGATTTGTTGTCTGATTTGGGATTTTTCAGATGACTTGTGCATCTCAACTTCAGACTCAGCTTGTGATTAAACAGGCAACGTGAAGATATCATGATGCAGCAGAAATGCTCAGAGCTTTTCCGCTGAGTCATGGCTGTTTGTCAGACAGGTAGACGTGGCTTCGTGTTAATCTGTTTAGTCGAGTCAGACAGAAAGCCTCTCACCGACCCTGATTATCTGTTTGAATTCATTACAGAAATAAACACTGCACTAACGTCAGCGCTTTCTGCTCCGCTGTCAGATTACAGAAGAAACACAAAATCTCATCATATGTCATTAACGACTTCTTCTTAAACCCATTTATTTTGTTCTCGAATGTTTTGTGGTTAATTTTTGTAGTGGCTGATTTGTAAATTCCATTTTATTATTTTATTTTTATGAAAATTTAAAATTCCCCAGGAAGCTCATTTTACTAGACATATAATCACAATATCATAAACGCAATAAAAGAAAAGGTTTGCATCATGATTAATAAAACAACCAGTTACAATTCAATGTTCTAGGGAAAGATTACAACATTTAACAAAATAGAATAATTTAAAGAAAAGTAAAATAAAATGGTAGAAAAATACAATGAAATAAATAAGAATAAACAAATTAAAAACATATTAAATAATGATGATCTACTTAGAAAAGTTGTTTTTCCAGTTTGTACATGTTAAATGTTGTATCCATCCAGTCGGCCGGTTTGTAAATTCAATTAACATTTTTCATGTTTCTTTATGTTTTGCTGTCATTTTCCATCTCGGTGTATTTCTGTTTCTCCTGATCACATTTTGGTTCCTTTTGTTGTCGTTTTGAATTGATTCAGGCTCATTTCTGTCTCTGTTTATGTTTTGCTGCTCAGCCTCTTGTGTTTTGGCCTAATATCCGGTTTGGAGGCTGGAAGGAGAACTTTGTTTTTTCTTTCTGTCTGTAATTTCAGTCCAATCATAAAATCATGGAGCTGATCTGATGGTCCTGATGGGATGTGATGGATGCTGCTGTGCTCACAGTTAATTGTTTTCAGTGTCTGCTGTCACATTAATGTTTCATCATTTTAATTTAAGGCTGTTGGGACCAGAGCGGAAACGGCCAGAAGTTTTGTCAAAACGTTCTTTGGAAAGTTAATTTCATACTGAACTGGTTTAATAGAGGATAAAGAATGAGTCATTCTACTATCGGCATAAAGTGCTTGATGAAAACGTGGATATTTTCTTTTTAATCAGCATAAAATTATTACTGACATATTTTTTTTGGCAAGTGAAAAAGTTTAAAGTGATACAAAGTATTTGTCATTTTATAATAACCAAGTTTTTATAACAAGTAGAATCATGTTTATTTAGTCGTTGTTGCATATAAATCAGCTTTTATTAGAGGAGAGTGGATCGATCCAAAATATTGATAATATTTATGTCCAGTAATTAGTGTTGGATAACAGAACAATTCTATGTATTAGCCTTTGTAAGCTTTACGTTATTCTGCAATATGTTGACAGCAAAAGACTGAAATGTCAGTCAATTCTTCAATCAAGAATAATTGATCACAATTTTAGATTATTACCAAATTAATGGTGTTCATAATCACAATTCATAGTTTTTAATTCTGACATACAAATTAACCAAAGTGAGAAAAAACTAGAACTAGTATTATTATTATTAACTATTATTATTGAACTAATAATGACTAATGAAAACTAGCAAACACACTGTAAAAATGAACTAAAACTAACAAAAGTCGCAACAAATAAAGCTAAACTATAATAAACATTCAAAAATAATAAAACTACAGTTAGAAAGGTGATATGTTTCAGTTTTGCACCAATTAAAGAGAATTTTAGTTTTAATGTTTTGTTGTGGAAACTGAAACTAGTTTAATGACACACCTGAGTTTAGATTTACATGTATCTAAATAAACTCTTCTTCTCCGGTTCTGCTTTTCCAACATTTCAGACAGTTGACATCCAGTTGCTGGGCCTAAAATCAGACGAGGCTCTGCCAGCTGAACATGCGGCGATTAACTGATGGCAGAAAATCTCTGTAAAAGTGACGCTCCTGCCGCCGCCGCGCGGCGTCAAACGTGTCAGTCGCTCCGGTTTTTCCTCTCGCTTCAGGTAATTGTCGCCTCACAAACGTCGCGGCCCGGGCCGGCCAATGGCGAGGCACCTCGCCCCGTGACGTCAGCGGCAGGCCGCTCTGCCGGATGATTGCGGTTGTCATGCCAACGGGCCGAGGTTACAATCGCAGACGAGATCCAGCCTGTAATAAGCGGCATGAATGAGATCGATGTGGATGGAGAGTGTGTGCCGTCACGACGAGCAGAGCGGCTGCAGATTCACGCGGCTGCAGATTCACGCTCCCTTCAGGATGCAGTGGCAGCGTGAAAACAGCAGCTCATTTACATTCCTCTCTGAGGCGCCGCCATTACTCCAGTGGCTTCACACTGATGCGTTCAAAGACAATATAGAGTTTAATAAACCTACAGCTGAACCAGTGTTGTCACTTAACCTGCTCCTCTTCCAGAAATAGTTTCATATTTTACACACAAATTCAAGTTTCTGCAGCACATTGTCTGTTGAAATGAACAGGTGGTTCTGTTTGAATGTTTCTGCAGGGAGAAACCGCATATTTACCATTTAAAGAGGCAGTTTTATGTGTTTTCCAGGCATACAGAGGCATTTTCTAACATAATCAAGTATATAGATGCTGTATAGATCAAGTATCACCCAAAATACATTTCACTTTGTAATTTAACACTTTGAAATTGAGTCTCTGTCTCTTTAAGAAGCTCCTGATCTTTCTGAAACTCCACCTTCAGAAAGTCATCTCAACATGGCTCCTCTATTTACCATTTAACATTCTTACCAGCATTGAACTGACAAATAGCTCCAATAATGAGCTCAGCAGTTCCACCAGGTGTTTGCTAATTGCTGCTGGCTAGTCTGTAGGAGCTGAGTGGGGGAGAGCTGCTCTGTGAGGAAACTTGGAAAAGCCAGAGGTGGCGTTTTGAACCTTTCACAAAAGCTTTGGATGAAAATTAAAAACATCCAACCAATGTTCAAACGCAAGTTTTTAAACAATTAATTTGCATAAAATTTTCACAAAGACGAAAAATACTAGAATATAAAAAAGAAATTCACCCTCTTTTTACTCAAATATATCTTTATTTTAAATCCTAAAAGCAGAATTAAAATGGTGAATCTTTAAAAAATAAATATCTAATAATAGATCTTTATCTGAAAGTATAAATAGTCAGAAGACATTTTTGGCTCTAAATGAGTTTTATTTAACTAACCAGATAGTAAAAATGACTCTTTAAGTTGCACAGGTTGTAGACCTCCGGCCTAGTCAAAGTCCAAACCTCAGCTGAACTGAAATGCTAAACTTGAATGAAATGAAGAGTGAAGATGATTAAACTGGCCTCCCTCTGTGATTAAAACTCCCCGCCTTCCTCTTCCTCTCTAGCAATCACTGCAACAGCAGAGCAACTTCTCGTTCCTCCAGCCAGGCAACAATCAGCCTCCTGCTACGAAACGTGCAGAAAGTTAAGTTGTGTTCAGCGGCTCAAAGGAAAAGTCAGCCAATCAGTGCTCAGCTTTTCAACTTGTTTTTGACCCCATTTCGGCGCCTCCTGCAGGGCAATCAGTGACACTTGTTAGGAGAGGTGTCAGATGAACAGTTCTGTATATGTCCATTCATTTAAAGGAGCAGTACATTTAAAATTTACTCCTTTTAGCTTTATCATAATAACATGATGTTCCTTCATGCATGTTGCACAATTCCTTTAACCTCCATGGCAACCATTCAGCTGCCTTGCTCCGCCATCGAGGCGCAGCTCTTCCCCCACCAGGGCCGGCTGCAGGGGCGGACATCGGGGGGCATCGCCCGCCCGCCCGCCCGCGGAGTCAGCCAAAATAAATAAAACAGCCAGCTTCCACTGGACTGAAAGCTGTTTGTTGTTTTTAAAGTGGCCGACTCGCTGTAATTCCTCTATCGATTTTATACAGTAGGAGCTGAGTGGGGGCCAGTGGGGGACCGGCTCCCACTGGCCCCCACTCAGCTCCTTCAGACTAGCCAGCAGCAACTACCAAACACCTGGTGGAGCTGCGCTTCCACTAGGCTGTTTCTCAGTGAAACGCTGGTAAAAACGTTTCTAAAGGGTTAATAGAGAACCATGTTTGATGACTTACCAAAGGCGCTGTCTCAGAAAGAGCAGAAGCTTCTTAAAGAGGCAGAGGCCCAATTTCACTCTGCTAAATCAGGAAGTGAAGTTTTTTTAGGTCACATTTGATATGCAGCTCTGGAAAAACTGAAGAGGCCACTGCACTGAACCCCATTGAAAACCTGCTGGTTGTTCCACCAAACACTGATTCCTGAACTCTTCCTGAGTTCAAACTTTAGTGTTGTTGTTTCTAAATGAAGATGAACTTGTTTTCTTTGCATTATTTGAGGTCTGAAAGCTTTGCATCTTTTTTGTCATTTTAATTATTTCTAATTTTCTGCAAATAAATAAATTTTTGCTTGGAATTTCAGAGACATGTCAAGTTCATAGAATTAAAGAAAAAACTTCATTTTACTCAAACATAAACCTGTAAGAAGTAAAACCAGAGAAACAGATCATTTAAGTTGTCTCTTAGTAAGTAATTCTGATCTACTGTTAGTGCAAATATCTTAGTACATTTACAAAACACTTTTCAGCAAACTTGTTTTTAGTCAATAATTCCTTAAAATTGCAGAAAATGACTAGTTCTATTGTTAGATTATTTTCATTTAAAACATTTTTCCTTGTTATAAGTGAAATAATCAAGTGCTTGGTACGATTTTGTGTTTTTGCAGTGTATAAAGTGTCACTATGTGCCTGGAATCACATAGAACACCTGTTTAAGATGTAATTGATCTCATTTAGTGTTGTATTATGAAACAGTTACGTCTGTGTCCCCAGTGCTCCTATGTCCCCCCCTGTGAGAGGGACAACCAGAAGAACAAAGACAACGTTCTGCTGTGGGAGGATTACTTCACCAAAGAGGTCAGCAGCCAGTCCTTCACCTGCTTCTTCAACCAGCAGAGGAGGTGAGACACAAACACACTCGTCCACCTCCAGGTGCGAGACGGACAAATTGGAAGCAGGAGGACGTGTGAGGGTGTGAAAGCTCCCTGGCTGACAGATCGATCTTACCTCAGGAGATTACAGACGGCCGTCCGGCTTTAAGGAGCTGCTGCTTTTATCCACTTCCTAAATGACTGGCTGGGATTTGTGACCCTGCTGAAAAAAAAAACTCCATTTCCTGGTTATTACATCTCAACACCTGAGTTGGGTTGTAACTCGTTACATTTACTTGAGTAACTTTTTGGAGAGAATGTGCTTTTAGGAGCATTTTTACTTTTATTTTGGTGACTTTATTTTGTTAGGACTGTCGCCAGATGAACCGCATCGTAAATTAAAACAAACTCAATAATTTCTATTGCATGATTTATTGTTTTTTTCTCTTTCTACTAAAAACTGAATGATAAAAGTTCAGTTTGACGTTTTGGTCTCAACTAGACCATTTTTAAGAACAGCTTTGTTTACATTTTATTTATTTTATTTAAATATTTTGAATATTTAAAATGTCTTCCAGTTCCAGTGTTAAATATTCATTTAAAGTTTATTAAATGTGTTCTCGCGTTATGTTACTCAAAAATTGTCTCAAAACATCAATATTAACGTTTATTGCGATATCTTCTGGGACAATTTATCGTCCAGAAACATTTGCTATCATGACAGGCCGGTTGCGACTCTCACTAGTTATTCAAGGAAGGATTTTACAAAAAAATCAAGCAAGTTTCTGCGTCTTGAAAAACAGATTCTACTTCTTCTACAAATGCACCAAAACTCTATTGATAAACTTTCACATTTCACCACAACCAAGAAATTCTGTGTATTTCTTCATCATGTTTGGTTTTAATTTTTTACTAATAAATTTGTAGCATGTATTTGTTTCCATGCTTCTCTATTCAGAAACTCCTAAACAAAACCGAGGGATGTTTTTCTGGGTTCAGGCTAACAGAAGCTTTTTAAGCGTGAAGCCACAAACTGATGACACAAAGAAAAACTGAGGAGCTTGTTGTGTGTCAGTTTTATCCTCCTATTATTCAGCCGCTGCTTACCTGTGACCTCAGCTGCTTTTATTTTTATCTCTGCAGCAGGGTGAGGACTCTGCTCGGTAAATGAGGGCCCAGCGGGAGCTTGTTGATGCTGCACATTGGCTCTTCGGTCATTTAGATGGAAAACTAGAGCACTGCACGCCGTTTTATTTAAAGATTTGAAAAAAACACACCGGGGTTTTGGGTTTATGTGTTTCTGGAAGGAATGTTTAAATATAACAGCAGCTAAAACTTCACAATGAGTGATTTTTCTGAACCAGTTCTTTGCTGTTTTAAAGCGTATTTAATTTAAAGAATCCTGGACGACTGTTTAAGTTTGAGACTTGGACTCGTTTCTGTCAGATTAATGAAGAGACAGGAAGCTAAAAACCTTCACTGGGAAACAATGAGCTGGATTATTAGCCAGTGATGCTGGTGGATTATGGGATGTTAGCGACTCCTAGCAATCCGTTTATGTTAGCGTTAGCTTCAAGACCACATGAATGTGTTTCCAACAGGATGACTGTGAATCATTGCAGAACAAATCAAACGTAACCTACTGACTGCTGAGCTACCTGCTAAATACACGGGACACTTCCTGCTGGAAATGTCAAAACAAAAGCACTTCCTGTTCCACTTATTAGGAAGTTTAATGCTCATTTACTTCCTCCACTTTGTCCCATTCATTATGTTGCTATTTATACCTTAAATTTGAACATCTTCACTATTTAGAACCCTTAAAAAATTATTTCCCAATTTTGTGAAGATTTCTCCATCTCAGAAGAAAACCATCAAATCTGATTTAAACAATGAAGTTGTTAATTTAGAGACTATAAATGCTAAACGTTGAAATTAATCAGTAAAAGTTTTTGATTTCTTTCTAGTATTTTTCTATTTCTAATTGGTAATTATTACATCTGATCAATTTTTATATTAATACAAATGAGGCTGTAACAAATTTTTTGTATCATTAATTTAATGTGAAACAATTAAAATAAAATTGAAAATAAATAGTGCCACATTTAATAATAATTTTTTTGTCTCTGTGCTGGAAGAAGTTTAAACGTGTTTTTTTTTTTTTCAGGGATTAAAATCTTTTCAATAAACCTGAAGAAAAAATAAGTCCAGATAAATGAGAACGTTATTAATATTTCTGACCTTTTCTCAGAAGCACGGCTCATTACCCCGGTAACCAATGAGGAGCAGCATGCTGCTGCATTACATGCCTCCATTATATCAATGAGCTTTACCTCTGCTCATTAGAGGTTTGCACTGAATGTCTCCGATTGGACCTCTGGGGCTTAAGAACATGGGACCAAAGGTTCTTTTCATTTCTGAAAAAAGATGCTTAATGGAACTTGAGTTCAGAAAAATTTAAATTTACCTGAGAGATTCTTCAGTTCAAGTAGGAAACTTGTGCTGGTGCTGCAGCGACATCTCAGCTCTAGAACCAGGTTCATTTTCCACAGCCATGTGCAACTTTGCACATAAAATCCCAATAAAAAGCATTGAAGTTTTTCCTGTAACAAAGCAGCGAGGTGTCAGGGGAGGTTTACGTTTGTGAGGCTCTGCAGGGTTTTACACAAAGCACCAAAATGATGCAGCTCAATGAATCAGTGAATGAATGAACGCTGTGAAAGTTTTGTCTGTATTTCTGAGGTCTACAACTGGGCCTCAAATATTGTAGACAAGTCTTAAATTTTGTCATTTCTTTGATAATTTTCCCTCATGCATTGTGTCTTATTTGATTTTCAACATCTTTGCTTTCAAATGGTTTCTGCACATCCTTAAAAAGTCTTAAATGTATCTAATCATGTCAAAGTGATTTTTTTAAAACCGTAAGTCAACCTTTAACTGCAGGCCTTAAATTTAGTCATTTGTTCCTTTTATTAATATTCCTATATTTGATAATAAATCCTCATGCTAGTTTCTGTCTCTGGTTTTGCAGGCCTGACGACGTGCTGTGGCAGCGTTCCCATGACACCAGCGTGCTGCTGCACTGCGTCCTCTGGCCAATGGTGTCTCTCCTTCTGGGCACGCTCATTGTGCTGCTGACGGTTTGCGCCCGCTCCCTGGCCGTCAGAGCCGAGGCGCTGCAGAAGAGAAAATGTTCCTACGAGGTTTGCCAGGACTTGTCCCTCACCACCTCTGATCGCCGCGGCAACAAACCCGGGGACCTGCTGGCGACGAACTCTGACCCCGAGCTGTCGTCGCCATCACGGACCCTTCCTCTGTTTGCGGTGCCGGTGAGGCGACGGGATCGGGAACATTAAGCCAGAGAGGAAACTTGAGAAAAGCTCAATGTGAGCCGCTGATGGGCGACTGGACGCCATGAAGGGCTGCTGTGATCTTCATCAGGAGGAAGATGAGGGTAAATCCACTCTGACGTGTGTCGGGTTCACCTGAAACAGTCTAGCAGCTCCTCTCATTCAGCCTGATCAGTAGGAGCTGAATCCACCTCAACCGATCCCACATTTCGTCTTACATTAGAAAGTCTTCTGAATTTCCGATCAAAACTTTTATTTCTCACATTTAAACGACAAAAACACCAAAAATGACCAAGTAATTCTGGTCTAGTGCAAATATCTTAGCGCACTTGAAAGACGACAAACAAACGTAGAAATTACACATCGGATTCCACAGACATCTACATGTTACGGTTGTCATAGTCAAGCTAGCATAACTGAGCTACTTCCCTCTCACTTGCTATTTTTTTTGTAATTAAAAGTTTCCTGACCTCGTTTCTAGTTGTCAATTATTAACATTTAGTGCAATATTGATAATGTACCAGCTGAAACCAATGCTAGTCATTGGTTAGCAAGCAGCTTTTTGCCCTCCAGCCAATAGAAGGTGTGAAAACTTGTGACATCATCCTGGAAGAAGTCAGTAGTTTTCTAAAAAGTTCCTTTCAAGTTCGTTTTGCCTTATTTTAAGTGCACTAAGATATTTGCACTACAAACTAGACCAGAAATACTCGGTAAGATTTAGTTTTTATGAAGTACATTACATTTTTCTTTGTTAAAAGCAAAGAGTTTCTATATTTAATCATTTTTGGGCAGGGAAATTAAAGCAGGTCCGATAATTTAAATAAAGAAAAAAACTATTTGCTGAGCTTTCACTTTGCACTTCCAGTAATCCCCAAGAGAGCTTATTATAAAACAAGAAAGTGCTTCTTCTCGTCTGATCCGGTAGAATATGCAAAACAACAGCAGTAAATCCACTAATCACAACCAAAGCAGATCTCAGTGCAGATTTATGTTTTCCTTCTTTGTTCATCAGCAGCTTTTCTTTCATTGTTTCACTTCAGAAATCAGAAACAACTTACAGATATTTAATCTTGATTAATCTTATTATCGTTCTGATTAAACTGAACCTTAGGTTTGGTTGGACTTTTCAGAAATATGTACTGATAAAATTACACTTAATATTTATTTTATAATCAGTATTATTCTGTTTTTAATGCATTATTTTCGTCATATTTGTCGTCAGGATTTGAAAAGACCAAAAACGTCTCAAGCTTCATTTCCATTGACCATCTGACTGGTTTGACATTTAAAAATAAATTGCAAGTCAAGAACATTTTTGCTTTTTACTGTAGCTTTAGTGTAAAAATGTATTTTCCTCCTGAATCCCAGCAGCCAAAATGTTTTATGATTGCCTCTGGAGGAATTATTGATTCAGCACTTTGATTCCTGATCATCATCCATTCCTCCATAATAAAGTCATATTTCACCCAAAACTTCCCTCCATTTTATATTTTTTGTAAAAATTGAAAGTAGTTTGATAAATAGAAAGTTCAGAGAACATAAACAACCGATGGAAGAAAAGCTTATATCTATAATTACAAGTTTTTTAAATTAAACTGAAGCTGATTTTCCTTTGATAAAATTCATCTCAATTCTCCAAGAACCAAATAAATTCCTCTTTTATCCAAATGTTCATAAATGCATCTCTCAATACTGTTCTGTTATCTCACATCAATTTATAAATATCAATCAGATCAAAGTTTATAAATATGAATCACTTTAAATCTAAATCCTGTTCAAAGTTAGATCCAATCAGATTTCATAAATTCTGATCAGAGTTTCTAAAATATTCCTTCTAGATCACAAATGCCTGAAACAAAGTTTATAAATTCAGAGAACTGTTTTCAGGAAGCTGATTTGATTCCAATCATCTTTATTGATGAACTTCCTCCTGGTGGTGATCGTCTGTAGAAACTCCTGATAAAACTGAGAGGATCAAACATTTTCTGGTCGACGGTTTTAGAAGCTCTGATCTATAAAAACCCAAACAGAAAACTGAACTTTCTGGTTGAAAACTGGAAAACCATCAGCTGAACTGGTTCACTGATTTCCACTGAGTGGTGCTGAGAACAAACTTCTTTCAAAACAGGTCAAACCCTCCTAACATCAGATTTTTCCATTTTATGAAGTTTAATTTGAAGGAAACTGCTGGTTCTGAAATGTTGGCCGGTTTCCCAGCGGAGCGGTTCTGAATGTAGCTTCATGAAAACACTTAGTGCCTCCTCTTCCTCTGTGACTCGGTGCCATGCTGTCTTCCTATCGCTTCTTCTTCCCTCGTTCTACTTGTAATTTCATTTCAGCATTTCCTGTTTTCTATTATCTACATGTGTGTTTTTTCCTTCGTCAGCCTGGAAGCTGATGTGATTAAAATAATGTTTATTTTAGGAGAGTTCATTATTAGTTTATAGATGATCAGTTTTATCTTCCATTATGTCAGCAGAAATACACAGAAATTGTTTGGTTGTGTCTCAATTATTACATTTGAGTCATTTTGTTCAAATTTAAATATTTAATAGTTACAATGAACCATGAATATATTTCTTTAAAACATTTTACTATTTTTGTAGTTAAATCAGTGAGTTTAATTCATTTTCTCAGTATCTATAAGTAACGTTTGTTCATTAAAATCCATCATTTTTCTCTTTGTTCATCTAAAGAAAATGTAGCTTCACTGTAGCACTGAACTTTCCGAGCTTGTCATGTTTCCATCTGGGATTAATGAAGTTAGATTTAATAGTTAAAGCCATATGCTGAGCTGTAATCTGCTGTAGCAACAAAAAACAACAAACCTTTGTATGTATTCAGATTTTCTCTGTTGAAATGTTGACTTTATTTTTGCTGTCGTCAGTAGCTGATGGTTGAGATGAAACAAAGTGTTTGTGTCGTTGTAATAAGCGAGCAGCTTCGGATCTTTGTGTCGTCCCGTCTGAACCTCAGCTCTGTGCCATGTGACCCAGGTAGCCGCTTCGCTTCGCGTTTCACTGATGGACATGATGACTGCTGTGCCTGATAGAGATCTTTAAATAAAAACTAACTTAATCTGAAACAGTGTCATTCGACTTCATTCTTCTGGTTTGTTTCATTTTGTTTCCCACAGAGACGGAGCCGCAAACCAAATTCAGAAATCAAATTCTCATATTTCTGAGATTAAAGTCAAAATTCCTGAGTTATTTCTAGCAAACTTTCAACTTTCAAACTGAAATTTCAGTTTTTTCTTTAGAATTTCTGAGAATTAACATTTTTTTGTTTTTTCAAGAAACTTTAAACTTTTCAGACTCAGAAACTTCCATGTATTTTCTAGAAAATTTTTGTGATTAAGTTTGACACTTGAAACTGAGAAATTTCCAAGTTTTTCTTTAAAAAGATTTCTGAGATTAATCTCAAAATGTCATCTTCCCGAGCAAATTTTCTACTTTTCAAGCTCTGAAATTTCCCCAAAATTTTTTATTTCAAGATAACTAAAATTCTAGCAAATCTTTAACTTTTTTGATCTGAGATTAATTTAAAAATGGCAACGTTTTCTCTTAAAAACATTCAACGTTTCAACCCTGGAAATTTTCTGTTTTTTTCTGGAATGTTTAAAGATTTATCTAAAATTTTCAGAGTTTTTGTAGCAATCAATACCAGACCTGTAAAATCATTTAGTAGAACCAGACTAAAAGAAATACATCATGCTGTGATTTAAAGAAATGAAGAAAATCTAAGTCAGACATTTTGGTAGGTGCAATGACAGGCTCAACCACTAGGTGTCACTACGTTCTAGATAAATGAACAATTAACACAAAAAGCTTGTTTGAATCTGAAATTGTCTGCAGAAACAAAGTAGCACGTTGAGTCACACATACCTGTCCTTCCTCTCATCTGACCGGCTTCGTCTTCATCGTTTCATTCACACATCAGATGGAGGATGAATGGCCTCCAACAGAAACAGCTGCTAACAAGGCCTGAGTCACGACGCTCACTCTTTGTCTTCACTGAATATTCACTGAGTCACATGTTGACACTCATTCAGCCGACTGCAGTGTTTAATGCCAAACCACTCACTCAGCGCTCGCTGGGATCAAACTCGCTCGCTTTGATTTGTGCTTCAGTTTGTCATAAATTCACATTTATTCAGCAGAGCGAGTTCTGCTGATTCAAAGCAGCTTAAAGTCTCTAAATACGTGTTTTAAAATCAAACTGCTGTCTATCTTTAGTTTGATCTCTGCACACAAAATTTTTACTCAATTTTCCAACAATTTAAAATAACATTCAGCTTTTATGTTAAAATGATTGAAGAAAACAAATGAAATCAAATTGAAACTGTAGACTAAAAAGCATGAGGAGTAAATTTATACCTGAAAAGTTAGAAATTTTTTAGTGTCAGACATTTCCTTAAAAAAACAGGGCAATTTCTGAGTTTAAGTGATTAAACTCAGAAATTGCGGGCATCTGTCTCCATGCCCGCCATGTTTCTGTCATAACGCCCTCGCTGTTGTAGCTTATCAGTGTTTCTGTGGCTCCTTCATGAAACAAGTTCAAACTTCTTGAGTTTATATGTTTAAACAAACCCACATAAAGAGACACAAACAAACAAAACTGATCCGTTTCTCTTTCCCATTCTGGTTTGGCTGCCATATTGGTTCTTCTGTCAACAGAATAAAGATAACCAGTGTTGCCCTCTGCTGGATGGAGGCCAAACTACAGCACTAAAAGAAGATCTAAGTGGACGTTATTAATGAATCTGAACTAAATGTAATCTAATAAATCATTAAGTGACAATTAGTCATAAGTTGATTGTTTGAATTCCTGGTTTATGTAAAATGTCTTTAAATTCTCCTCATCCCTGACGTGAATCGTTTCTGCTGTTCTCACCTGCTGAAGGTTTGTCATCCGTTCTGATATTTAAAGAGCTGAAACCATTTTTATTCACCTTGTCTCTTTTCATCTCGGTTCTTAGTTTTAATGAAGAGATGTAAAATGTCACCGTCTGAGACGCTGCAGGCTGGGAAAGGTCAGCTCTAAGGTATTCTGACAGGTGAGACCTTCCAGTCCACTCCACAGGAAGAGCTGGAAACCCACTTCCTGCTTCAAAAGCTGCACAGTTCTTCTGATTTCAGCACATTGGCTTCAATTAAGGGAGGATTGCGGCTCTTCTAAGATCCAAATATAGCATTTCAACCATGTGGAGGTAAACTGGACGGGTCAGATGATGGAGGTCACAAACTCTTCTGTTTGGGTCAATTTACTGTCAATTTATTCTGTTATAATGAAAACACCATGAACATCAAGGTGACTAATAATTCACCATCATATTGAATATGTGATGCTGTTTGTTATCAAAGGTCATTATTAAAGTCTGCTGAGAAGTTTGGACTTCTCACTAAACCAGATGCTTTTTAAACCTTAAGATCCTCCATTAACTAAAAGCATCTGACGATTTTCATTTCTTGTCTTTTCAGATTCATGTTTTTCATCGTTGGGTTTAATAAAACGGCGTTTTTCTGTGCGTTGGTCTCACAGAGGGAAGGCCCAGCTGGATTTGGGGCTCCTCGCCTCCATCAACGGCTCCAACTGGGTCACCCAGTTCTGCTCCGGCCTCGCTGTGGCCCAGATCAATATGGAAATCACAAGTTAAACATTCAGCGCCACTGATGCAAAATGCTGCAACTGTGTTGCTCAGTTTGGTCTCGACAGAAAGTTTTTCTTTCAGTGGAAGAAAACCAAATGTAGGACGAGTTCAGCTGGGTTGTGTTGTGTTTAAACAGTGAAACTTTTCCTTGATCACTAACCAGTCAGTCTGTATGACGCAAGATTTTCACTGTTCATTTCATAAAACTCACTTTATTCATTCTTCAGACCCAACAAGCAGCACATTTGTTGTAATTCCTAATAATTGGATCTGAAGTTTATCTGCAGCTGATTGTTTTTCTCTTGAGGTCAATATTTGTTAAAAAAAAGAAAAAAGAAATAGAAAAAGAACAGAAAAATTTTGATTAAAAAAATTCTGAAATTTTGAGATTAATCTCAGCGGACTTTTAGAAAAAAACATGAACATTTCTGAATTTCAAAAATAAACTCAGAAATGTTTGAAATTAAGAAATTTTAAACTTTCTACAAAATTTCTGAGCATAATTTGACCATTTTTGAGTGATTTGGTGCAAGTCTACTCTCCAATGTTCCTGATTCACCATCGTAAAGATGGGAGTCGGGAGCTGGACTGAAACAGCGACGCAACACGTTCAGAAAACCTGGAAAACAGTCGATCAGAACCGTCTCAGCGGGTCGCAGAGTACGTGACCAACTGGAAGAAAAACAAAGAGAAACTTGGGAATGGCGGCTAATTTTAATGAGCTTTAAGATCAAGTTTACATGTTTCTGATGGCAGGTTAAAAAAACAGTATTTTATATTAAAAATACAATGCTTGAATCTCGTTTACAAATTCTTTCTATAAAATGCAATGAATCAAACTGGAGTTTTTATAACTTTTAAAAACATTTAAAATGGCATTTTTATCAGATTCCTGATTTATTAAAATGAAACTTGAGGCGTGTTTCAACCTTTTACTGAAGTTGCTTTAAACAGTTAATTTCTGAGGCGAAAAGTTAAAAGGTCTGAAGCAGAAATCTAGCAAAAAATGAAAACACAAATATAAACCCAGCAGTAGAAAAAACACTATTACATCAATATTTACATACAGCATTGTGTGACGTTTTCTTTAAATAAACAGCTTATATGGAGAAGAGAAAGTAGAAAAATAGGCAATTTATTTTTTTGACCTGGTTAGACCACCATGGTAACAACATGTTTGTTCGTAAGAGTGAAGGTGAAATTTGACCGAATCAAACCGACGTGTCGGCCATGTTGGAAACTAACGGAAATCAGCATAGAGTAGCTAACAGCTATGATGTCATACCACAGGCTCCGCCCCCTTCACTCCCTGTCACTCTGGGTCAATTCAACCCACTTCCTGTGTCAGTCCTTGTAAAACACATCTAAGTTTTTACAGTTTATATTTTCAGATTAAAATATTAGTGGTGGTTTTCTGAGTAGAAAACTCATAAAAATAACGGATACATTTTATAAGTTCATTAAGTTACTGATAAATATCTATTTTTGTATTTTGAAATTTCAATACAAACTAACAGTCTTTTTAGTGGAAATGCTACAGGTTGACATTAATGCCACAAATCTAAACAAATACTCCAGTTAAATTAATATCTAACATTCCTGCAAATTGAGCAAAGAAAAAAAAGAGGATAAGCACCCAGCAATGTTAACAGTTTTCTGCACATAATATTTAGCTTTTCTGCTCTAATAATAATATTAAAAGAAGCTGATATTAGATGGATAATTTGTCAGGTTCTTTGCCCAGGTGTCTGGCTGGCTTTAGTTTTTTTTTTTTTGTTAGTCTTGTTTCAGCCAGCTGACCAGTAGTGTGCAGCAACAGCTTTCTCTGACTTCTCATGAAGAGTATGCTAACATATAAAACAGCTGATTTTAATGGCTCTAAAAGTATAATGATAGTAATTTACAGCAGAGCTTCTTAGCAGATCAACAATCTGAACTTGAAGGCAGTTTAAAATCGATCAGTTTAAAAAAACACACAAACTGGGTTTATATAATGAAAAATGTCTTTTTTACAGCACATTTAACCTGAATCCTGTTGATGATGAGTTTGTTTTCCAAGGTGATTTACCAGTGAAAATGTTGATCCTGACCAAAGAAATTCAGCCGCTAACGTCCAACCCGTTACTGAACACGTCTCCGTGGCGAGCTTCCTCCCTCCTGATTGGCTCGTCGCCTCGTTAACGTCCGTTGTAGATGAAATCTGAGCAGAAATAATGACGATTTTAATGGTGTGATAAAAAATGAAATGAATTCATAAAGTTTATTAAGTTTAACAGAAAGGAGAATTAGCAAAGAAATGTTGTTCAATTTCTAATAAATCCACTAATTTACATCAACATTTATTTTCTACTTAGTGCATCTTGTTATATTAGAAGTTGCGTTTCTTCTCAAAGGCTCGTTTGCTCGCTGGTATTTTCTAGTTTATATGAACTTTA